GGACAGACACAGAATTGTTACTCAGGGACAGACACAGAATTGTTACTGAGGGACACAGAATTGTTACTGAGGGACACAGAATTGTTACTCAGGGACACAGAAATTGTTACTGAGGGACACAGAATTGTTACTCAGGGACAGACAAAGAATTGTTACTCAGGGACAGACACAGAATTGTTACTGAGGGACACAGAATTGTTACTGAGGGACACAGAATTGTTACTGAGGGACATGAATTGTTACTGAGGGACACAGAATTGTTACTCAGCGACAGACACAGAATTGTTACTCAGGGACAGACACAGAATTGTTACTGAGGGACACAGAATTGTTACTGAGGGACACAGAATTGTTACTCAGGGACACAGAATTGTTACTGAGGGACACAGAATTGTTACTGAGGGACACAGAATTGTTACTCAGGGACAGACACAGAATTGTTACTCAGGGACAGACACAGAATTGTTACTGAGGGACACAGAATTGTTACTACAGGGACACAGAATTGTTACTCAGGGACACAGAATTGTTACTCAGCGACAGACACAGAAATTGTTACTCAGGGACAGACACAGAATTGTTACTCAGGGACAGACACAGAATTGTTACTGAGGGACACAGAATTGTTACTGAGGGACACAGAATTGTTACTGAGGGACACAGAATTGTACTGAGGGACACAGAATTGTTACTCAGGGACAGACACAGAATTGTTACTGAGGGACACAGAATTGTTACTGAGGGACACAGAATTGTTACTGAGGGCCACAGAACCGTTACTTAGGGCCACAGAAACATTACTTAGGGACACAGAATTGTTACTCAGGGACAGACACAGAATTGTTACTGAGGGACACAGAATTGTTTCTCAGGGACAGACACAGAATTGTTACTGAGGGACACAGAATTGTTACTCAGGGACACAGAATTGTTTACTCAGGGACAGACACAGAATTGTTACTCAGGGACACAGAATCGTTTAATTAAAGAGTATGTCAGACAACATGCATAGGAGTGGCAGAGGAGGCAATGTTTTAGGAGCGAGCAGACGTGGCAGCAGAGGAAGGGGTCGAGGCAGCACTAGTCGCAGCCAGAGGCCAGTGCTCCCGGTGTCATCACAGCGGTCGTGTCTCCACCGACAACCCTGCTGTCATCGATTGGTTGGCTCGGTCGTCTTCCTCTTCCCAGGTCACCTCTGACACCTACAGCCAACGGTCGGTGGGTACGTCAGACACAACCGTTAGTTGGCATGGCCCGGGGAGCAAGCCCACTGAAATCACGTGTCCTCGACCTGCCCCTGTCCTTTGGTGTTCCCTCACCAAGCGAAGTATCGTATGCTGTGGGCTCAGCCCCACTGTACAGTGAGGAAGAGCTAACAGAGGGCGGTCAGGAACGGGGGGAGACATCCGCCTCTTCAGCAGCCAGGCGAAGAAGTACTGGCGAGGAGAGTGGCTCGGTAGCCGTCTAGAGACAGGTCTGTCTCCTGACCCACACGCAGCCGAGGGGGCTAGTAGTGAGGCGGAGACCCTAATTGATGATGATGAGGCTGATCGCACTTGGCAGCCTCGTCGTCATCAGGCTATTGCTTCCGCATCATCAGGAGAAGAGGGTGGCAGCTTGGCAGCGAGCAAAACAGTCGGTGGGTTGCCCAGGAGGCAGCAGGGTCGCAGCAGTGTCAGTGGAGGCAAACGGCCACGGAGTACAGCACCAGCTCCACTGCAGCCTACCACCACGGCCAGTAGTGGTGCCAGTGTGCACGGAGGAAGCAGCAGTCAGCCAATGAGGAGTATCGGGGGCAAAGTTTCCTACTCGGCGGTGTGGCAATTTTTTGTCAAGCCTCCCGAGGAAGTAAACGTAGCCGTATGTCGACTATGATGTGGCCAGAAAGTCAAGCGTGGCCAGGGGGCCCATGTTGGGACTACAGCGTTGCAGCAGCATATGCAGCGTCGCCATTAGGTGGCCTGGGAAAACCGTGATAAAAAGATACGGCGGTTTCTGCCTGCCCCAGCCCCCGCTCCATCACGCCGCTCTCCGTTACTTGCTCCGTCACCCGACGTCCATTCGCCCTCTATCAGCCAGTCAAAGGCTCCAACACCTCTGCTGAGGGGAGTTGTCGCTCGTTGGCCAATCTTCCGCGCGTTCTGATGCTCTTCTCCTGCTACTCCTCTTCACGGATTCCGTCAGCAGTCTTTCTTGGAATCCGTTTCCAAGAGACAACAGTTTGCGAGCACGCACACCGACGGTGCAAAAGCTGAACGTCCTCCTGTCCAAGTTGCTGGTGCTGCAGGTCCCCCTTTCCAAGTGGTGAACTCAGCACCTTTCCGAGAAATGATGGCTTGTGCTCGCGCCGCGGTGGAGAGTGCCAAGCCGTCATTTCTTCGCCAAAAAGGCAGTGCCAGCCCTGCATTCACATGTAGAAAAAAGAGATGGTGGGCCAGTCTTTGAGCATGTCGGTCTCTGCCAAAGTGGCACGGCAGCGCCGACGTGTGGAGCTGTAACTACGGTAGGGACAGTACATGTCATTTACGGCCCACACTGGGTGAACGTGGTGCCGTCACAGCCGCACCAGCAACTTGGACAGGTCAACGCCGCTTTTGCCTCCACGTTTGCACGTCCTTGGTCCGGCAAGAAAGTGTCGCGCTCTACCACCTCTTCTTCCTGCCGTGTCCTCAGCCGCCAGCCCCGTGCCAAGTCCATTACCCGACCGGAATATCACATGTGCAGGGACGCAACGGGTGTCCCACGCTGTGCTGCACCTGGTATGCCTTGGCGAACGTAGTTCACACAGGGGAGGAACTTCTGAGTGTAATGAACAGAGAAATCGACAGATGGCTGTCTCCGCGCAAACTGAAAAATCGGAACGCTGTTGACCGACAACGGAAAGAAGACATGGTGTCTGCTCTGCGTCAAGGAAGGTTGTGCCATGCGCCATGCATGGCTCACGTGTTCAATCTGGTTGTCAAGCGGTTCCTAAAATCCACCATCCACTGCAAGACATCCTTAAAAAAAAATGTCACGTAAACTTTGCATGCATTTCAGACGCCTTCCTACACCGCAAAGCACACCCTCCTTGAGCTGCAGAGAAAAAAACGCAGAACGGAATTCCACTAGCATCGCCTGATCTGCGACGTTGCAACAAGGTGGAATTCAACCTACACATGTTAGACCCGCCTTTACGAACAGCGAAAGGCCATCACCGATTTCCCTGATGTTACAAGCGGATAAAGGTACTCCCCTGTGTAACTTCGATGGTCAGCCATTGGCTAGCTCATGCGTGACACCTGCCGTCTTGCTTAGGCCCTTTGAGGAGGGCCACGCTATTCCGTTGAGTCGCAGGACTATGGGATGAACGACGTCATTCCTCTGTTGCACGTCCTGGAACAAATGCATGTTAACAATGGCTGGTCAGGGTGCAGTAGACGTGGCGCATACAGATCTCAACGCCACATGACCCTGTGGGGGCAGGACAGGAAGAAAGGAGGAGGAGGTAGAGGATGGTACATTTGTGCTCAGGAATTATTGAGTGAAATGGGTGGTTTTTTTCCACGTCAGCGGACAGGAGTGGAGGAGCAGGAGCATCTGGTAGAGGAGGAGGAGGAGGAGACAGAGGACCCAGACGCACCGTGGCAGTATGCTGTGGAGCGATGGAGGGCAGGGAGTCCCTCGCATTCCTTGGCACAAATGGCCCATAGCATGCTCGGTTGCTTGCGTTAGCGACAGCCGAATAATAACCATCAGTCAGAGGGATGATTTTGGCTGTCCACCTCTTGTTGGGACCTCGCTTACCGTTCAAAAATGGTGGCCTTTTTCACACCTGACTGAGAGGGAGGCCAAAATAACGTACATAAAAACCACCTATGTAGTCAGTTTGGTCTCTGCCTTTCTGCGCGGCACAAACGTCCATCCTCAGGACACTGGGGCCCATGTGCGCTCTGCGTTTTATCCGCGTGCTGCATGGCTGCCAGGGGAGGGGATGGGGGGTGGTAGGAGCAGTGGCAGCTCCACCAGCAGCGGCTGCCTCAGTCTGCAGTCGATGATGAGTAGCTTTCTTCACCAGCGCAGTGAGAAACTACTAACCAGCAGCCGCAGCAGCAGCAGCAGCAGCATCAGGTGGACCTGGATGCAGGACCTCAAACAACAGGCTTGGGCTTACTTGGACAGCACCCTCTGCCAACCGAGGTAGACAATCCCCCTTGACTACTGGGCAACGAAACTTGACCTTTGGCCCCAACTAGCTGAATTTGCCCCTTGAAAGGCAGTCATGCCCGGCCAGTAGCGTGGCATCGGAGCGCGTGTTTAGTGCGGCAGGAGGTATTGTAACTCCGCGGAGGACACGACTGTCACCCAAAGTGTGGAGAGACTCACGTTTTGTGAAAATGAATCAGGCGTGGATTAGTCTGGATTTCAAACACCAGTTTTCCTGACACAACTGACTAATCTGCCATGAATCATGCCCCTCCAAACATGTGCCACTTCAGGTCTCCTCACACTGCTGGTGTGTTCCATTTTTTGTCATAGGGTGCTGGCAGATTACGGGGCCTCCATAGCTGCTGCCAGGCACCCTAATACTGCCATGGGCCCCTATTAACGACGTCTCCTCATGCTGCTGCGCCGTGAGAAAGGTCCAGAGTCTCTCATGGGTCCCCTGGTACGGCCTTCCATTGCTGCTGTCTCCATCGCCACAACTCTGCCCATGTGCCGACTTTCAGGTCTCCTCACACACTGACTGGTGTGTTCCATTTTTTGTCATAGGGTGCTGGCAGATTACGGGCCTCTCCCATAGCTGCTGCCAGGCCCCGAATCTGCCATGGGCCCCTGTACCGCACTCATCATGCTGCTTGCCAGGTCCACAGTGTCTCATGCCATGTGCCACTTTCAGGTCTCCTCACACAGATGGTGTGTTCCATTTTTTGTCATAGGGTGCTGGCAGATTACGGGCCTCCCATAGCTGCTGCCAGGCCCCTAATCTGCCATGGGCCCCTGTTATACAACGCGCTTCCTCATGCTGCTGCCAGGTCCAGAGTCTCTCATGGGTCCCTGTACGGCCTCCCATTGCTGCTGCTGTCTCCATCGCCACACTCTGCCATGTGCCACTTTCAGGTCTCCTCACACATTGCTGGTAGTGTTCCATTTTTTGTCATAGGGTGCTGGCAGATTACGGGCCTCCCATAGCTGCTGCCAGGCCCCTAATCTGCCATGGGCCCCTATACCCGCCTCCTCATGCTGCTGCCAGGTCCAGAGTCTCTCATGGGTCCCTGTACGGCGCCTCCCATTGCTGCTGTCTCCATCGCCTACACTCTGCCAGTGTGCCACTTTCAGGTCTCCTCACACACTGCTGGTGTGTTCCATTTTTTTGTCATAGGGTGCTGGCAGATTACGGGCCTCCCATAGCTGCTGCCAGGGGCCCCTAATCTGCCATGGGCCCCTGTACCAAGGGCCCTCCTCATGCTGCCTGCCAGGCTAACCGTCACAGTGTCTCATGCCATGTGCCACTTTCAGTCTCCTCACACTGCTGGAGTGTGTTCCATTTTTTGTCATAGGGTGCTGGCAGATTACGGGCCTCCCATAGCTGCTGCCAGGCCCCTAATCTGCCATGGGGCCCCTATACCGCCTCCTCATGCTGCTGCCCTAGGTCCAGAGGTCTCTCCATGGGTCCCTGTACGGCCTCCCATATGCTGCTGTCTCCATCGCCACACTCTGCCATGGTGCCTCTTTCAGGTCTCCTCTACACATGCTGGTGTGTTCCATTTTTTCGTCATAGGGTGCTGGCAGATTACGGGCCTCCCATAGCTGCTGCCAGGCCCCTAATCTGCCATGGGCCCCAAGTATACCGCCTCCTCATGCTGCTGCCCAGGTCCAGAGTCTCTCATGGGTCCCTGTACGGCCTCCCATTGCTGCTGTCTCCATCGCCACACTCTGCCATGTGCCACTTTCAGGTCTCCTCACACACTGCTGGTGTGTTCCATTTTTTGTCATAGGGTGCTGGCAGATTACGGGCCTCCCATTGCTGCTGCCAGGCCCCTAATCTGCCATGGGTCCCTGTACCCCGCCTCCTCATGCTGCTGCCAGGTCCAGAGTCTCTCATGGGTCCCTGTACGGCCTCCCATTGCTGCTGTCTCCATCGCCACACTCTGCCATGTGCCACTTTCAGGTCTCCTCACACACTGCTGGTGTGTTCCATTTTTTGTCATAGGGTGGCTGGCAGATTACGGGCCTCCCATAGCTGCTGCCAGGCCCCTAATCTGCCATGGGGCCCCTGTACCGCCTTCCTCATGCTGCTGCCAGGTCCACTGTGTCTCATGCCATGGTGCCACTTTCAGGTCTCCTCACACTGCTGGTGTGTTCCATTTTTTTGTCATAGGGTGTGGCAGATTACGGGCCTCCCATGCTGCCAGGCCCCTATCTGCCATGGGCCCCTATACCATCCTCAATGCTGCTGCCAGGTTCCAGTAGTCTCTCATGGGTCCCTGTTACGGCCTCCCATTGCTGCTGTCTCCATCGCCACACTCTGCCATGTGCCACTTTCAGGTCTCCTCACACTGCTGGGTGGTTTCCATTTTTTGTCATAGGGTGCTGGCAGATTACGGGCCTCCTATAGGTGCAGCTGCTGCCAGGCCCCTAATCTGCCATGGGCCCCTATTACCCGCCTCCTAATCGCTGCTGCTGCCAGGTCCAGAGTCTCTCAGGGTCCCTGTACGGGCCTCCCATTGCTGCTGTCTCCATCGCCACACTCTGCCATGTGCCACTTTCAGGTCTCCTCACACTGCTGGTGTGTTACATTTTTTGTCATAGGGTGCTGGCAGATTACGGGCCTTCCCATAGCTGCTGCCTGGCCCCTAATCAGCATGGGCCCCAGTACCGCCCTCCTCATGCTGCTGCCAGGTCCAGGTGTGTCATGGTCCCTGTACGGCCTCCCATTGCTGCTGTCTCCATCGCCACACTCTGCCATGTGCCACTTTAGGTCTCCTCACATGCTGGTGTGTTACATTTTTTGTCATAGGGTGCTGGCAGATTACGGGCCTCCCATAGCTGCTGCCAGGCCCGTAATCTGCCATGGGCCCCTGTACCGCCTCCTCATGCTGCTGCCAGGTCCAGAGTCTCTCATGGGTCCCTGTACGGCCTCCCATTCGCTGCTGTCTCCATCGCCACACTCTGCCATGTGCCACTTTCTGGTCTCCTCACACTGCTGGTGTGTTCCATTTTTGTCATAGGGTGCTGGGCAGATTACGGGCCTCCTATAGCTGCTGCAGGCCCCTAATCTGCCATGGGCCCCTGTACCGCCTCCTAATGCTGCTGCCAGGTCCACAGTGTGTCATGGGTTTCCCTGTACGGCTTCCCATTGCTGCTGTCTCCATCGCCACACTCTGCCATGTGCCACTTTCAGGTCTCCTCACACTGCTGGTGTGTTACATTTTTTTGTCATAGGGTGCTGGCAGATTACGGGCCTCCATTGCTGCTGCCAGGCCCGTAATCTGCCATGGGCCCCAGTACTGCCTCCTCATGCTGCTGCCAGGTCCACAGTCTCTCATGGGTCCCTGTACGGCCTCCCATTGCTGCTTTCTCCATCGCCACACTCTGCCATGTCCCACTTTCAGGTCTCCTCACACTGCTGGTGGGTTCCATTTTTTTGTCATAGGGTGCTGGCAGATTACGGGCCTCCCATAGCTGCTGCCAGGCCTCTAATCTGCCATGGGCCTCTGTACCGCCTCCTCATGCTGCTGCCAGGTCCAGAGTCTCTCATGGGTCCCTGTACGGCCTCCCATTGCTGCTGTCTCCATCGCCACACTCTGCCATGTGCCACTTTCAGGTCTCCTCACACTGCTGGTGTGTTCCATTTTTTGTCATAGGGTTGCTGGCAAATTACGGGCCTCCTATAGCTGCTGCCAGGCCCCTAATCTGCCATGGGCCCCTATACCGCCTCCTCATGCTGCTGCCAGGTCCAGAGTCTCTCATGGGTCCCTGTACGGCCTCCCCCATTGCTGCTGTCTCCATCGCCACACTCTGCCATGTGCCACTTTCAGGTCTCCTCACACTGCTGGTGTGTTCCATTTTTTGTCATAGGGTGCTGGCAGATTACGGGCCTCCTATAGCTGCTGCCAGGCCCCTAATCTGCCATGGGCCCCTATACCGCCTCCTCATGCTGCTACCAGGTCCAGAGTCTCTCATGGGTCCCTGTACGGCCTCCCATTGCTGCTGTCTCCATCACCACACTCTGCCATGTGCCACTTTCAGATCTCCTCACACTGCTGGTGTGTTACATTTTTTGTCATAGGGTGCTGGCAGATTACGGGCCTCCCATAGCTGCTGCCAGGCCCCTAATCTGCCATGGGCCCCTGTACCGCCTCCTCATGCTGCTGCCAGGTCCACAGTGTCTCATGCCATGTGCCACTTTCAGGTCTCCTCACACTGCTGGTGTGTTCCATTTTTTTGTCATAGGGTGCTGGCAGATTACGGGCCTCCCATTGCTGCTGCCAGGCCGTAATCTGCCATGGGCCCCTGTACCGCCTTCTCATGCTGCTTCCAGGTCCAGAGTGTGTCATGGGTCCCTGTACGGCCTCCCATTGCTGCTGTCTCCATCGCCACACTCTGCCATGTGCCACTTTCAGGTCTCCTCACACTGCTGGTGTGTTACATTTTTTGTCATAGGGTGCTGGCAGATTACGGGCCTCCCATTGCTGCTGCCAGGCCCGTAATCTGCCATGGGCCCCAGTACCGCCTCCTCATGCTGCTGCCAGGTCCACAGTCTCTCATGGGTCCCTGTACGGCCTCCCATTGCTGCTGTCTCCATCGCCACACTCTGCCATGTGCCACTTTCAGGTCTCCTCACACACACTGCTGGTGTGTTCCATTTTTTGTCATAGGGTGCTGGCAGATTACGGGCCTCCCATTGCTGCTGCCAGGCCCCTAATCTGCCATGGGCCCCCGTACCGACTCCTCATGCTGCTGCCAGGCCCGTAATCTGTCATGGGCCCCTGTTGTCGCTTGTTGGCATATTCCGCTCCTTCTCCTGCTACTCCTCTTCACAGATTCCGTCAGCAGTCTTTCTTGGAATCCGTTTCCAAGAGACAACAGTTTGCGAGCACGCACCCGACGGTGCAGAAGCTGAACGTCCCTCCTGTCCAAGTTGCTGGTGCTGCCAGGCTCGTAATCTGTCATGCGCCCCTGTACCGCCTCCTCATGCTGCTGCCAGGTCCAGAGTGTGTCATGGGCCCCCGTACCGACTCCTCATGCTGCTGCCAGGCCCGTAATCTGTCATGGGCCCCTGTACCGCCTCCTCATGCTGCTGCCAGGTCCAGAGTGTGTCATGGGTCCTTGTACGGCCTCCCATTGCTGCTGCCAGGCCCGTAATCTGCCATAGGCCCCCGTACCAACTCCGCATTGTTGCTGCCAGGCCCGTAATCTGTCATGGGCCCCTGTACCGCCTCCTCATGCTGCTGCCAGGTCCAGAGTGTGTCATGGGTCCCTGTACGGCCTCCCTTTGCTGCTGTCTCCATCGCCACACTCTGCCATGTGCCACTTTCAGGTCTCCCTCACACTGCTGGTGGTTTCCATTTTTGTCATAGGGTGCTGTATGGCCTCCCATTGCTGCTGCCTCCACCGCCACACTGTGTGGCTCCTCACTCTGGTTTTGGCCCCGTGACTGCCCAAATGAGTGAAGTGTGCGGTGATTCTAAGATCGACGGCACTCATCTGCATGTCATACTGACTGTCAGTATTATTTCTCTTCCCCAGCAGACTCCAAGGGCATTTAAATTAAAGGTACAGTGTTCTGCACTAATATAAAGGCTCTCTGAAGCCTAGAAACACCCTTTTATAAGTTAAATTCGCAGCGAATATATTCGACTCGAATCGAAATTTTTTCACGAATTCGCTGAATCAGTCGAATCGAATTTTTGAATAATTCGCTCATCTCTAGTGGTGATCACTGCCCGAATTCTCCTTCAAAGTAATAGGGGCCTCCAATCGTTGTTTGGCCGACACAGGCAACACTGGAAAATCAATATTGGTAAATTAGCATTCAGAGTTTCAAGATAGTAAGACGCTTTGGAAGCTTAAAGATGAGTATAGTACCATTCAAATTGGGAATTAATTTGCAAAGGGTCTGACAGAAGCATACCATCGTCAGCTCTAACATTAGCTATATGGGAGTTCTCCACCTGTTTTATGGACAGCCAGGCAAGGAGTCTACTCGGCCTTTCCTCCTGTTCAAAGACACGTTGGGACTGAGAAAGAAGAAATTTTTTACAGGAGGTGGCTTGGAGCAGCGCAAGTTTCCGATAGGCAGTCAGCATGTCTTTATAGGTTCCCAGATCCTGGGTAGCAGCATATCTAGTTTCTAGTGCCTGAGGACGGGCCTGATCACAGAAAGTTGAATACGAGATTCCTTTCTAATTTTGGCAATAGTGAATTGGTAGCGGCCTCTAGCATATGCCTTAAACGCATCCCAAGTCGTGTCAGGTACTTTGGACTGATCATTATGCAACCAGTAGTCCCTAAATTTAGAAGATATCAGCGGCTCAACTCTCTCATCTGTGATCCAGGCACCATAGCCTGGATCCAGCAGCCGAATCCGTAACAATAATTAACAAAAGAGGGGCATGGTCCAAGATGCTGCGTGTTAGGATGGAAATCTCCTGGATGTGGGAGAGCAGAGGGTTACTTACATACACTAAATTAATGTGGGAAAAAGTTGCATAGGTATCCGAACGACAAGTGTATAGCCTCTCCCGTGGGTGTTTCCATCGCCATGCGCCATGCTGACCAGAAGCCTGTGCCCAGTGAGACAATGGGGAGTCAACCACTGCATCTGGATGCAGCCTGTCTAGGCTAGGATTAGGCAGCATATTAAAGTCCCAAGCTAAAATCACATTATTAGTAGGGTATTGGGAAAATTCCAGTTTATGCAGTACCGATAAGGTCAGAGGAGGTGGAATATAAATCCCTCCAATAACCATCTCAATACAATCACACAG